TCTGCTCTCCGACTGCACCTCGTCTCCTGTCACATCCTGCTCCTTGATTCTTACTTTGTTGCAATAACACAGCAGCAGACATGCACGAGGGGATGTGAGGGACATCCTATGGGAGGAAAAGAAAGCACCTCCCCACCAGGAGGTCCAGGCTACACTGAGGTGCGTCTGCGTCAGGGAGACGCACAGCACATGTCCACTCCTGGGGGAGATACTGAGGAATGTGCACATTGGGTCATCTACTGCTCTCGTCTTCGCGGCCACAAAGGGGTTCAGATCACCGTGTTTTCTTGCCACCTATTTTAAACTCCAGCTCATGCAGCCATATATGATGAGGGCTATCAGGGTTCGGTCTTGTGATGAACATACAGTATGTGCTCTCCAGTACATTGGCTCTGTTAACATTCAGTCTGTAACTGACGTTTGGGACATGAGCACATGTCCTCTATTTTTTTTACTCATAACCATCAATTATTTATGAGAGGAATTATTTAATATCTCCTCAAAGTTAGATTTATGTTTTATTTGACCATGTCATACAAGTTTCACGTTTGTCCTAAAGGTCAAAGATTCAGATAAACTAAGGAGAAAAAAAACCAGACAGGCCTCTATGTTCAGGTTTATTCACAGCGTTTCACTGCCCCCCAGTGCTGTAAAAAAAACCCTCATGCAGGCAGTCAGTGCAGCTTTATCACCCCTGAAAAACATTTTAAATCTTTTTGTTGAGACTCGGTGTTGCTCAATATTAAAAATTAGAAGTCAAATGTTGAATAATTATTTTTAAGTCAGTGGTTCCCAACATTCTCGGCTTGTGACCCATTAAAATGAAGTAATGTCTACGATACATTCATTAGAATTTGATTGGTGCGATTATTTCTTATGTTTAAGCTATCAGTATTTGGGTTATTTGCGATGTGGTGTCTATTTACCAGGTGTAAAGAATCTTTTTCCACCCTGATGAGGACCCTGAGAGGTTCTGTGTTTCTGTCAAGGGAGTTCAGGACAGGACCCAATAGCAGACCACGAGACAGGATATTTTACGCTGTACAGAAGGCAGGATCGACGGTGTGGACCACACCGTGTGGTTACCCGTGGACCGACACCGGAGGGCAGGCAGATCACCTGTGTGGATCCCTTGGTCCGACACAGAATGACGGTTGAAGCGGGTGAAAGACGGTACGGACTGACAACCCAATACTGCAGGACCAGGGTTGATATGGTGCCAGGGGGATGATTAGTGGGATCAGAATCTGGTGTGTGAGCTTGCAGCAGGTAATCGGCTGGAGTGTTCGCAGCTGTGCACCAATCAGGGGTGTGGCCATGGGAGGTGTCTGGAGGCAGAGGAAAAACATAGAGCACATGGCACACAATAACAAACAGGGGAATGACAGAACACATGAGGAGAGGAGATCAGGGGAAACAGAGGTAACACACAACGGGTCAGGGAGGGATCCTGACGGTTTCAACCACTATTCCTGACTAACTAAAGACTTTGAAATGCACACTGTGTACAATTTAGTGGCAACCAGCAGTGTGGTTGCAGATTGTAACCAACTGAATTCCCCTTAGTTCAGCCCTCAGTTTTCAAGACTGGAGTAACATTTTGGTGTAAGACTCCATGAAGAGGACCTGCTCCTTATGAACAACTCATTCTAAGTCAACGGAAACAACAATTCTTTGTTTCAAGTGATTATACACCAATGAAAACATAGTTATGAATAGTATATTAAAGCTAATATATTCCCCTAAATGCTACACAATGTACGTTTTCAAATAACTATTATTCTGGCTCTGTTTAAGACAAAACATTTCTGTAGTATCTAATTCAGACTCATCATGGGTTATGGCCTTGCTTATGGGCGTGTGTTGAATTTTATTCCTGTCTTTTTGTCTCTCTTGTTTGTTTTATCTCAACCCTGTTTGTTCACTACTGGTATGAAAAGACTAAATTATTTAATACTGCATTCATTTACAAATTTCCAGTATTTGGCAAATTTAGTGATTACAACTCAAACCACTAGATGTCAGTGTCACTTCATTAGTATATCTCACACTACTGCTGTTGGAAGTACAGCACATGAGCAGTGCAAGACCACCCACAAGACATGCAGAGACACATTTTATCGGGACACATGTAATCTCTTTCTGACTTAATACCCAAAATGATGATTTTATAGCATGAAATTAACATGATTGTTCAGGGAAATCTTGTACCTTAAAAATGACTTCTTTAAGTAACCATGAAAAAAAAAAAATTGAAGCCTATAATGTGCATTTGTTTGAACTTTTTCTGTCCAATGTTGGAACTGAAAGACACAAACAATATTGTCTTCTGGAGCGTCCTACCCTGTGGAGTAGAGGTCAGCTGAGTGTTAGATTGGAGCACTATGAGTGCTATTTATGGGCATGAATGGAACTAAAAATGGTACAATCATGTTATTATCCTTTGCACTCAATTTGGCTTTAACAGCATGTGGATGCAGCTGTGACTTTTTATAATATATGCCCTGTTAGAGAACATCACTTTGCTACTTATTAATATAGAAATGTAATAACACTTTGTATAAGACTGATAATCAGACAGAGCTAAACCGGATGCAAGTGGCAGAGTGATCTGTTTCATCATTAAGGAAAGCCGTCAGCGTCACAGGGTCTGTTCACTCCAGTGATGTGGTCTGGTAGAAATCTCTGGAAGGGATATCTCAAAACCATAGCGGATAAAATTCAGTAAATTACCTAAAAAGCGAACTTATGTCATGTGCTTTCCCACCAAGTGACCTCTTATGAGTAACAACCTTAATCTCTGAGAAGCAAAGTTACAATGTTCTAGCTGGGCAAAAACGGGAAGACTTCAGGATGGATTCTTGTGTGTGTATATGTATACATATACATATATATACACATATTCACACATATATATACATATATACACATATACACACATATATATATATATACACACACACACATATATATATATATACACACACACACATATATACACACATATATATACACACACACACACACATATATATACATATATACATATACATATATATATATAGATATATATATATATGAACGATGTCTTTCCCTTTTGTCAGGGGGGAAGTTGAGGAATAGACTGACTTAAGCATATGCAGTTTCTATATGAAAGTGTTGGTAATCAGACAGGTGTTTACTGTAGAAATCAGTCACACATAGTCTGAAAATCCCACCTGTGGCTGGTGCAGGGGTAAACCACTCCCCTTGCATTCTGCCAGTAAAGGTCTAAACAGACCAACATCAGTTACAGTCATATAAATCAATGAAATTATTGTCTGCTTCTATTTAGCAGTTGGTCCATGTTGTCGATAATACAATGCAGCGCTACAAAAAAAACTAGTTTCAGCAACTTAAACCTTTCAAATCATAGAGGTTGCAAGATTTAACATTAAGTTGGCCATTTTCACAAAACCAGTTATCTGAAAATGAAAACAAATGTGAATTTTATAGCTAGCTGCATTAATTCCTTGTGGCCATTAGGGGGCAGATCAACTCAAACAAGCTGAAAGATACACAGCCACCACTTATCACTATCTTCTCTAGAGGCTATAGCTAACATGTACCTACTTTCACATCCATTATACAGGGAGCTAAATTAATATTCATTTGGATTCACATTTCTGTCTGCAAGTTCAATATTCACTCTACTTTATTAAGCTCTGGTTTGGTCTTCACCATCAAAGAAAAATATTAGACTGAAAATATATTTTCACGCAACTGTGAATATGCTGAGTGCACTACAAGCTCATAACCAACATTTCAAGTGCATTTATTTCTTCTCTCCCAAGCAAGTGCCTTAGATGATTGTGAAGATTTGCCATTTATTTAAAACGTGATGTAAAAACAATGTATTTACCTCCAAATATGTATGCCAAAACGTATAGAGTAAACCCAGTTGTACAGATGGTCATTGATATGATAAGATCTAGATACAATGTAAAATGGTTAGTATGGAGAGGGAGGCAGCATTGTGAGACGTTCATATGCATCAGGCCTCTGGACCAGCTGTTGTTCGCCCGACACTGCCTCCACTCTACACTGATGACATCTGAATACACAAAGTGGACATTCAGCCACATTTTGTACTCTGCCTGCTGCTGAAATGCAATGATAATGGCCATAGTTAACATTTTAATGAGAACCTATTATTAGATAACAGCATTATCACTGTCATTATTAGCTAACCAGAGGGGGCTTTATAGGGGTCTTGTATGATGCTTTATGCGTTTCCTACATGCTTTGTTTGCAGACAGCTGAGGTAGCAGCTTTGCTCTTATTTTTATCTGGAGTTGATGGCTTGTGCAAACAGTTGCACGTAATAATAAAGTTTTATTGCTCTTCCTATTACGTTAATGCTGTCACATAATCTCTCTCTCTGCTTCCTGTTTGCTACAGAGCTCTTTCTCGTTCACATGATATGGGACAAAAGCTCCGGGCAGACGGATGTTGTCATTATCCGAGTTCTTTATGAGACGGAGCAGAGCGGTTTCCAAGGTGAATAACAGTTCTACACAACATCAGCTGCAGAAGGCCTCATGATTCAGAGCAAATATATCGTTAGGTCATGTGAATGATTTAACAAGCAGGCTGAGATGGAGTTTGCACGTCGTCGTGCATATAATACGCCTGACCGTGATATGTTTACATTTGATGTTTCATCTATGTCACTGGGTTGAGTATGTGAGATACTTAAAATACTGCTGGTGTCAGAAATGTCACAGTTAACGTGTTTTTATAAGTGCTACTGTGTCATATGTCAGTTTGTCCTGCTCAGCAACTCATTGTAAATTCCAAAATAATAAATACTTAAACCATGCATTTCTTTCAATAAGGACAACACAATTTAGTATTTTTTTTCTTCTTCAAATAATTTACTTTATTTGCTGGTACGTAAAAAAAAAGACAACAGCGATATAAATATTATAATATAAATTGCACATTTTTTTCATGTTTAGTAAAAAAGAACAAATATTTTGCAGGCAAATAAATACAAATAAATAAGTAAGTACCTTACATGCCTGTTAATAAACAGTGTAAGACTGACAGATAGACATCACAACCACAAATGTTTGCCTATTGGCAAAGAAAAAAGTGCTTTTCTCCTTCCCTCCTGATTGATTGCCACTTAGACTGTTACACTTTCACATGATGTCCAAACATCTGTGTTCACTCAACAATCCACTTAAGGCATCAACCTCCACTGTCCTTTTCTCTTCAATCCTCGGCGTCTACAGAACACGCGCCATCCACGTCTGATCTCGTGGCGATCTGCGCGTCTGCACCCGCAGAGTCCAGCTTCATGGTGCAGCAGATAACGTCATGCATCTCTTGCCTTCTCAAACCTTGAGGCAAACCACTAACAATCCTCTATGGAGAGAGTTCACACCTTCTTTTCCAGCCGGGGCTTCTTGGCGGCCTTGGCATTTGGTTTGGCTTGGCACACTAGATCCCTGTAGGTCGGAGAGCGGAGGAAGCGAGGGTAGCAGTCTTTGGCCATGAGCATGTAGATCTTGTGCTGGGCCGGGTCAAAGCAAGAAAGTGAAGACACCAGCATGTTGGCTCTGGTGATGTCACGAGTTTCGTGGTCGATGTTAATCTGGTGAAAAAGGGACAAGGAGAAAGAACCAGATTAGTTTTTTTCCCCATCTAGTAGGGGTTAGCGGCTGTAACAATGCCTAACTGGAAAGTGTGTTTTGGATGTGCCTCATCGTCTAACTTTAAGGATTCAGATTCTAATCCTCTGTTGAGGTTGGTGTTTCCTTACCTCCCGTGGCGCGTCGTTGCCGATGAATTCATCATAGATCTTCTGGGCTTTGGCTGGTAATTTGGTAGTCGACTTGGTTTTCCTGTAATCTTCACAGGCAAAGTAAAACAAAATGTTCTCCTCGCTGAACTCAGACACCAGGAAGGCAGTGAAGGCACACAGTCCATCTGAGGAGAGAGAGACAATTTGTTAAATTGAATTACTTACTGCACATAATGGTCCCCGCAGGGGCTGCGTGCGTCTGTATGCGTCACTACAGTATGCGATTACTGGTATTTGCGCGTGCTGTTTAGTGAGCAAATGTGTCAAAAAATGCTAAAAATCTAGATATTTACTTACATTTGCTGGACAGGAGTTTTTCAAAGGACTCTTTCCACCTAAGGCATTCCTCCAGGTTTGGCCTGAAAACAGATGAAGCAAGATTAGATTTAACCCAGATTTCAACCAAGCACACAGTGACAAATGTAAAGTTAAGTTGTATTAACATATAGCACAGTTTGTGTGATGCTTACTTATTTTGCCCCATTTTGCAGCAGGATAGATTCCAAGTGGATCTTTGCAGAATGCTTCCCAGCATTGCTTTCAGCTCCTTGGCCCTGTGAGGAAAATAAAACAGGTTAGATACATTTTTCCCAAGATCAATATTACATACTGGCAAGCCATTACTGTGCAGTAAAATTCACCACACGAGAATCCACACTAATCCACACTCTAAAAATAGCATAAACTGAAACGGACTCTTTTAGCGTCTCAAATGCTCTCACACAGATGCACAAAGACAGAGCTGTCCTCCATATCCTGTAATGAAAATCCCCAAACATCAGCCAAGTAAGTGTTTGCATGAAACTCCATGTACCTTTCCAAGCAGCCGGTAGGCAGCGATGCCAGTCCTTTCCACATACTGTAGCAAGAGGTTGGAGCCGGTAAGGGTGGTTTCTCGAGCAGGTGGCAGTTAAATATCCGTTTGGTAAAGCTCAGTAGGGAGCGAGATTATCTGTCTGGAAAAAGCCAGAGGAGAGGCTTTATAGTCCCACATCCCCTGCTTCTGACATGTCATCAGCCCTCTCAGCCAATCACAGAGACGTTGAGAGAGAGAGAGAGAGAGAGAGGGTGGCGAAATGATAAAAGTCGCTGATGTTTTTCTTGCATGTCCCTGAAAACACGCCACAGTAAATCTTTTGGTGTTTTCATTTTACCCTTCTCCTTAAAAACAACTTATTTACACACATGACAATTCCAGTGATGTGAAAATATTGTAGCCAGCTTTTAGATAATTGTGTACCTTTCAAAAGGAAGGAAACTCAGAATATTCTTGAACTTGGCACAAGTAAGCTTCTAACAGTTTTTTCCTCAGACATTGAATTTATGACAATCCCCACACACACACACACACACACACACACACACACACACACACACACAC